TAGTGGTGATCACATCGCACGATGACCCATCTTAGTGGTGATCACATCGCACGATGACCCATCTTAGTGGTGATCACATCGCACGATGACCCATCTTAGTGGTGATCACATCGCACGATGACCCATCTTAGTGGTGATCACATCGCACGATGACCCATCTTAGTGGTGATCACATCGCACGATGACCCATCTTAGTGGTGATCACATCGCACGATGATCAGTGTTACTGATCATCACATCGCACGATGATCAGTGTTACTGATCATCACATCGCACGATGATCAGTGTTACTGATCATCACATCGCACGATAAACAATGTTACTGATCATCACATCGCACGATAAACAATGTTACTGATCATCACATCGCACGATAAACAATGTTAGTGATCATCACATCGCACGATAATCAATGTTAGTGATCATCACATCGCACGATAATCAATGTTACTGATCATCACATCGCACGATAATCAATGTTACTGATCATCACATCGCACGATAATCAATGTTACTGATCATCACATCGCACGATAATCAATGTTACTGATCATCACATCGCACGATAATCAATGTTACTGATCATCACATCGCACGATAATCAATGTTACTGATCATCACATCGCACGATAATCAATGTTACTGATCATCACATCGCACGATAATCAATGTTACTGATCATCACATCGCACGATAATCAATGTTACTGATCATCACATCGCACGATAATCAATGTTACTGATCATCACATCGCACGATAATCAATGTTACTGATCATCACATCGCACGATAATCAATGTTACTGATCATCACATCGCATGATAATCAATGTTACTGATCATCACATCGCATGATAATCAATGTTACTGATCATCACATCGCATGATAATCAATGTTACTGATCATCACATCGCATGATAATCAATGTTACTGATCATCACATCGCATGATAATCAATGTTACTGATCATCACATCGCATGATTATCAATGTTACTGATCATCATGAATGTTAGTGGTTATCACATCACATGATAAAGAATGTTAGTGGTCATCACATCACATGATAGTGAATGTTAGTGGTCATCACATCACATGATAATGAATGTTGGTGGTGATCACATCGCATGATAATCAGTGTTACTGATCATCACATCACATGATAGTGAATGTTAGTGGTTATCACATCACATGATAGTGAATGTTAGTGGTGATCACATCACATGATAGTGAATGTTAGTGGTGATCACATCGCATGATAGTGAATGTTAGTGGTTATCACATCACATGATAGTGAATGTTAGTGGTTATCACATCACATGATAGTGAATGTTAGTGGTCATTACATCACATGATAGTGAATGTTAGTGGTCATCACATCACATGATAGTGAATGTTAGTGGTTATCACATCACATGATAAAGAATGTTGGTGGTGATCACATCGCATGATAATCAGTGTTACTGATCATCACATCAAATGATAGTGAATGTTAGTGGTCATCACATCACATGATAGTGAATGTTAGTGGTTATCACATCACATGATAATGAATGTTGGTGGTGATCACATCGCATGATAATCATTGTTACTGATCATCACATCACATGATAGTGAATGTTAGTGTTATCACATCACATGATAGTGAATGTTAGTGGTCATCACATCACATGATAATGAATGTTAGTGGTCATCACATCACATGGTGGTGAATGTTAGTGGTTATAATATCACATGATAATGAATGTTAGTGGTCATCACATCACATGGGGGTGAATGTTAGTGGTTATCACATCACATGGGGGTGAATGTTAGTGGTTATCACATCACATGGGTGTGAATGTTAGTGATCATCTCACATGGCAATAAATGTTAGTGTCACATCATATGATAGTGAATCACTACCATGTTATGTGATGACCTACCATCTAAAGTGATCGTCATCAAATGATAGTGAAAAAGGAAGTTTTGGTGTGACTCTATCCTCAGTGAACTCTACAAAGTTATATTACCCCAACAGATTGGTAACAACTGGCTTAAATAAAGGTCATCAGTTGGGATTTAACTTCTGTAACTTTTAAAGGGATCCAGTCATCTAATTATTCATCTACATAAACATTTGCCAAACTTACATTATACTCTTAAACTGATATTTTCATCTTAGTGATACAACATTTGAAACAAAGGATAGTGTTCAGTGGCATTTCTACAAGGGTAGGGGAACTGAAGCTGACTGTGTTTTTCCCCTTTTCCTTTACATATTAAAAGAATTGCCCGAGCGCCTTCCATGACAATTCTGTTGGCTTCTAATCACCGTTGAGCCGACAATGGGTCCTAGTCAGCCCTCTCACCTAATGATACATACAAACACACCTACCTTTTTTTACTAAAAACTACAAATTAAATTAAAATAAATAAAAAAAATCCTAAGTCCTAAGGATCCAAACCACAAAACAAAATCTAATGAATTTTTCGTTAGAGGAAGTATATCAATCAATTAGACGTCTGTATCCCTTTAAAATAGAAGGGGTAAAATTACAGTTTGTGAGTTTAAGGTATAAGTTTTGATAGTGTAGAGGAAATACAATAACATGTGTTAAACATCAGCCACCCAGCTTCATAACTCTGATATAGCAACACATTTCACAATTTCATTAAAACTGTAGCCTTTTGTGATACAAGAATATTTTACGATTAGTGACGTCATCATAT